GGCATTTCGAATGGTTGGGCCAAAATGAACGAAAATCATCAACGAGCTCGTGTGAATGAACTCCGTCAAGGACAATGATCTGCACACAACAACAACAATAACAACAACAGTCCGAGTAGTCGACTACGAGTCCGAGTGGAACATCCACTCGTGCCAGTGCCACGCCCCCCGTCGCCGACGCCGCCGCCGCACACACATTGTCTCTCCCCCCGCCACCCGCCACCCGCCCACTGCCTTTACGCGCACAGCCTTTTCCCTTTATTGCGATTTATTTTGCCGAGGGTTGATTTTTATGAGAGCAGACGACGTCGACGTCGACGTCGACGGCGTCATTGACATTGCAAAATTCACGAGCGGCAGACGAGAAACAAAACAAATCGTTAAACTGACCTCTCCCCCAACTAAGCCCAAAAACAACCTGATGGATGCTGACTGCAGACAGATGCGGAGACGCGGAGACGGAGAGACGCAGACGCCGATGCCGAGATGTAGTAGTAAGTCCCAAGCCCAAAGGGCCACAAGCCACGTGGCCTGCACTCAGAGAAACAATATGCGCCACAATTTAGACATAATTTTTGGCGCGAAAGTCGGCAGAAATTTGAGATTTAAAGAAGTTTACCACATTCTGTGGCAGTCACATTCGCGGTTTTAGAAGTGAACAATTTCACGGCTGACTCCGCATTTGCATTCACATTCGCATCCGCATCCGCATCCGCATCCGCATCCGCATCCATGTCGATGTCCATGTCCTGCGGCTGTCGCTCCCTTAGCAGATGATGCGTTTCGTTATTAAATATTTAGCGAGCAGATCCAAACTCTCTCTGACTCTCTCTCTGCCTGTCTCTTTCTGTCGCTGCCACAAACTCCAACTCTGTATCCAGCCTATTGTTAACCACGCGGCATTTAAATGCGACTGTGGATATCCCCTGCCCCGTCTCTCCCAATCCTTTAGAGCCTCAATCCTCAATCCTTAAAACTCAATGCCTGCTGTCGCAGTTTATTGAATTTGTTGTTGCTGTTGTTGTTGCTGGCTGTGTGTGTTTTGGACCAGTTAGCGCCTCTTGTTGTTGCAGTTGTTGTCTGTCGCCCGAAAATTGCACCTGCCCTGAGCTGTTGCACCTGCCCGTCGGCGAGTTGAAAGCATTTGTTGTTGTTGATTTCGGTGTTTGTTTTTATATGGGCGCAGTTCAATGGCCGCTGTTGGTTTTCGCTGGTCAATGGTCACAATTTGGACTGGACTGGACTGCATTGGAATCGACTTTTGGCATACGAAATTATTGAAATTGAGCACATGAAGTGATTAACGAAACACTCTACACACACACACACACACACACACACACACACACACACATGACACACAGACTCTCGAATTGAGCACTCAATTTAAATGAGATTTTAAGTGGTTTCCGTCGACAAATGTTGAGGTAGTCTTTGCAATTACTATATTATGTGTGCATTATAAATATTGCACGGCTTTTTCTGGAAAACAATAAATATATATTGCTAAATGAAAGGCAGAGTTTTGTAGAAAACATTTAACTGATTTTCAGTTTTGAAAGCTTTGGCAAAGCTTAAGTTTTGTTTTAAATGGAGTTGGCAATTTGAATATGAATGAGTGGAGTGAGTAAATATTCGAAGAATACTTCAAATCTTTTCATTCACTGCCGTCAAGTATTCAAATTTTAATTGCCTGCCACTGAATCAATTATATTTAATTTGTCTTTTGTCGATGCCCTTAGAAAGGCGCCGTCAAACTGTCATAAATGGTTTGCAGACACAAAAAAAGAAAAAAAGAGTCCAAAATGAGCCCGGCATTAAATTATTTCAATTTGTATGCAAAACTTTGCATTTCAAATAGCGACAACTGCAGCAGCAACAAAAACATCAACTGGAGTGGAATGACAATGACAATGCTCGTTCTCGTTGTTGTCTGTTACAGTTCCTATTGTGGCAGCCGTTTTGCCGCAGGGGCAACATCTTTTGCTGGCTCGGAAGTTCAAGTCGCCGAAGAAGAGTGCTGCTATGCAGCATAGTTGGGCAAAAAGGACGCTGGGTGACAGATTGCCGAACATGTTTATTTACAGCTAAAAGGAGTCACAGCAAGGACAACAACAGCTCGCGAGGCACAGGCCGTAAAATGGAACCTGAATGCGCACCGGAACCGAAAGACCAAAGAAAACCAGAGCATTGAGCACAAAGTACAGCCGAGTACAACGCAACCCAAAGCAAACGCATCTTGTCACATTGTCATTGTCAGCAGTTGAACACACCCCCCTCCACTCCACTCCACTCCGACCCGTCCCGTCCCTGCTGCTCTGTGGCAACATGTTGTCTGCTGCTCGTCGAACAATTCGAGCAATTTCACTTCGAAAATTGCGGCGTTTAGCGCGCGATTGCCACAAATCAAAGCGACATTAAAACCCCCTTTTTTCTTTCTCAGCCCACTCGCTGTTTTGGCTTGTTTACCCAACGATAGGAGCAGCAGCAGCAGCAGGAGCAGGAGCAGAAGCAGGAGCCGAAGCTGACTGCTTGAGTTTTGTGTGTGTGCCTTTTCATTTTTAGATAAATAAAAATCGCAAAAGAAGAAATCCCAAATGTCGTCGTTGCTTGTCTAAAGAGGACTCCCAAAACATATGCGCGCCAAATCAGCAGCAGACAAAACAAACAAAGACCAACAGGACAGACAAAAGGACCAAGACAGCACCAAATAAAAGACGAAGAAGAAGACAAAGACGAAGACAAAGACGAAGACGAAGACGAAGCAAGAAAGCAGACGAAAGCAGACAGCAGCGTATTCGCAGCCAGAAAAATGCTTCAAAAATCGCTAAAGGAAATAAGAAGAAAATAAAAGTTTACGTGTGGCAGCGCACGTGAGTGTCGAGAGGGGTGCCGAGGGGCGGTGGGGGGTGGAACTTTGGATTGGTTGGGGTTCGGTTGGGGGATGGTTGTGCTTGTCAGGCCTGCTGCCGATTTTGGTGCGTAGACAACACAGACGACAATATTCCACTTCAAGTGATTTGTTGTCCAAGTAGAAGAGACCCAAAGACCAAAGAACATTTGCCAGACGTCGGGCGGCTGGCTTGAATGATTACCCCCTGGTTGGCTGGTTGGGGTTCGACCGGGGGGATTGACTGGGGTATATAGACCTAGGATTTTAGCTAAGAAGTAGCAACATACACACACACACACACTTTGGCGTGGGCTAATAAATAAGTCTGTTAGGCCTCCCCAAACAATAACAACAACAACAGCAGCAGCAGCTGAGGCTGAGGCTGAGGCAGCATCATTCTAGCGAATGATTTCTATTTATATGCGATCTAGCTGCGTAGTTTTGAAGCTATGACATTCGAAACGTGGAACAGAGAACGAAAAAAAAACCCCCCAAACTAAATAAGATCCAACATGATTTGTAGCATGTTCAATTTGGGCATATTAATAAATGCGTTAAACTTATATACTAAATATTCTTTATTCTTCATGCTTATTAAGGCTTATTACTATTGAGATTATAGGGGGTCCAGTTAGATCTATCTTTATATGCTGTTACTGATTATTATCTAGTTTAGCTTAGTCTACACTGTCCCATGAGTATTTTAAATATCTTCTTGCCCCTGTTCTTCCATCAGTATTTTATATCTGTTCTTCTAATGCCTATTGCTTCTAGGAAATTATGAAAGGTCACAATTTCTTCTGAGAAAATGTTCATATTTAAATTGAAATCAGGAGTAGCTTAGCTTTAGCTTTAGTTAAGCCATTATTTATGAGTAAATATGTTTTTCATTAAATAACATCCTAAAATAGCCAAGCAAAATGATGCTTAACACGGGTCTGAGTTTATCGCCTGTGGTATACTTTATTTACTTTACTAAATTTCATTTATTTACTTTGCTAAAATTAAAGCATTTTGCTTCAGACTTGCAAACATTAATAATTAAATAACAGAATATTGAAATAAGAGATTAAAGTGTAATTTCTTGTGATTTTATATTCACACACAGTTAAAAACGCTAGTTCAAAATTCTACCTCTATTTATGGACTGTTAACAATTCAGACACACATTCAAAATGTTGGCAGAATTACTTAAATCAAGTTGTCAATACTTGAATGTGGCACACTGTTTCTTTACATCTGTTTGCACAGATTGCGTACGAGTAGCGAGCATTCAGTCTGTTTGAGTAACACATTTGTATTTCAACACATGTAACCAAGATTTGTTATAAAATCTCTTTCAGTTTTTTTCTGTTTTTTGTCAATGTTTTGCTGCATATGGCGGAGAAGTGTGTGTGTGTGTGTGTGTGTGTGTGTGTCTCCCGTCTCTGGTAGCTTGTCTGACTTGCCTGTTGTCTGGGGCTGCTACGCACGTAACGGTAAATTTACGCGTCTCTGAACTTTGACCCTCGCACTACGCAGCCTGTGACCTTTGTGCGTGCGTTGACGCGTCTGCGCCCCATCACATTTTATGGATGCTGTTCGAATGTTGCCGTTGCCGTTGCTGTTGCTGTTTTTGTTTGGCACTTTTTTATGCGAAATTAATTTAGAAAACTTTTCTCGGAATAAAAATGTACGCAATTCACGTGTAGACGGCAAAAGGGCGACAACTGGCATGGGGGAGAAATGGACAACGAGAGGGACAGAGAAAGGGCGCGGGAGAAGGGCAGAAGAATGGGGTTTGACTGGGTTTTGGGGCGTACATTTACTTTCATTTCATTTTATTTTATTTTATTTTGTTTTTTTTTGGGTAGTTTTTGGTTTGTTTTGTGCCTGCGTTAAGTATGTGTGTGTATACACTTAATGCGGCTTAGAAAGCCATAAAGGTCAAAGTTTAAAGAGATATTCAGCAAGTGAAAAGTTGGCAACCAAGTTACAAAATTCCACATAGTGTCAGAGTTGCGTGTTACCTTTGAGTGAATAAGCCAAAACTTAACCATTTATTAAGTGGGAAGTGCTAACAAATTTAAAAGTAGACATTTTAAACTTTAAACTTACCGTTATATAATGCGGGTTGCCTCAAAGTGTCTGAAAATAGAAAGGATTGAATGAAAGGTATCTGAGATTAACAAAGTTGAGTGCTCGGTTTATTTTTAAAAATTTCTACATTTCTGCCAAAAGAAAGTATATTATAAAGTGTATATATTATGATATTGAAGGGATCTAAGGTAAATGCATTTTTGTCAATGCTATGAAGATATAATATGTCCAATTAAAAATCTTAAAATGTAAATAGTTTTCTGATATTTAATGCATTTGTAGATATCTTGGTGGGACTGTATTCTCTGAGATTGAAGAGGATTCAAATATTCAAAATATATTTAAATTTGAAAGCTCATTCGGAAATATTCGTTGTGGAAGTCATAAAGTAAAGCCTTTCAAGATAACTAAATTGTTTTTGCTCTTTTGGCCAACGAGTAGCTCATAGTCAACTACTTTCACACCAAAGCATTTATTTTCTCGGTTTAACTTCGAGCTCTGATTTTAGCAGGGCTGGCATGATAAATGCCCGAGCAAGAGCCAGTGCCAGTTGCGGAGTCAGTAAACGGAAATGCCCCTAGCCAAGAAGTGTCCCTACTGACAGCTCAAATGACCCATTCGGTGGCCACAATTTGCCATCACTTGCCACAGAGCACCGAACAGCAAATTGCGAAGACAACATCAGCAAATGGCAATGGGGCATCGTCATCGACATCTGATAGATATAAAAACATCAACACGATGCCCATCTACTGCTCCTATCTGCAAATGTCTTTGTATCTTTGTATCTGCGTGTGTGTATCTCTGTGTGTGTATCTGTGTATCGTTCTCTTCTGGTGCCTGTCGTTTCTTTCGCTTGGTGCCACAGTGCATCGAACTCCAAGCAACTCTCGGGACTCTACGCTGTAAAATATCTGGTGTTCATGTATCGACAATAATTACGCCTCGGCTACAGATACAGATACAGATACGGCTACAGATAGAGATACAGATACAGATACAGATACAGATACAGCTACTCGTTCTCGCCGCTGCTCGTAGATCGCAGTCGGAAGAATTTGCACAGAAGAAGAAGCCACCATCAATCTATCCATCGCATCCCATCCCACTTGGGGTTGTGCTGCTGATGGTGGGGTACCGGGGAGGGGAGGGGGAGGGGGCAGGTGGGGACGGGGGGCCATGACTGGACGTTGGAAGGCCGCAGACAATAATACAAACAAGCAAAGTGAGTAGAACGAAATGGAAAATGGAATCGAATCGAAGCACATGAAATGAAATTGTACTGTTCCCGCACACTCCCCCCCCCCTTGCAACCGCACCGCACCGCACCGCACCGCTCAAATCACACTCTCTTTTAACCCATTCTCGTTCCATCCACATTCACGTCGAGGTGAATGGACGCAAGGTGACGCTGTAGTCGCAGTCGCAGTCAGCGTCGCTGCTGCCGTTGCAGTCAACGTCAGTTTGAATGTTGGCTTCATATGCTGGATTTGCGCGCCAAAAACGTTCCCCTTTTTATTTATTTATTTATTTTTTTTCATTTTTTTTCGCTGAGGAGTTGACTTTGTTTTGGCGACGTTGACCGGAGCGAAAGACAGACAGACAGACAGGCAGCAGCAGAGAGAGACAGAGAGAGAGAGAGAGCAGCAAGTGAGGAACGGAGTGGATGTGAAACATGGATGCCTGGCATGCAGGCAGCAGCGCTGTGACTGTAACAGGAGGGGAGGGGGCAGGGATCAGGGGCGTGGCGACGCACGAAACAGGAGCACAGCTCAGACGCCAGACTTTGACTCGGTCGGTGTATTTGTGCACAAAACGCTATTTACCATTTACCACTTTGCCCATTGCCATTGCCTGCTTCGCATCGACGACTAAACTAAGCCTGCCCCCCGCGCTACTCTTCACTATCTGTACTCCAACTGCCTCTCCTTTTCTGTTGTGTGCCTGTGTCTGTGTGTGTGTCTGTGTGTGTGCCTGTGTGTGTGTGCTGTGGTTGTTTGTCTTGCGAGTTTTGCTTTGATCCCCTTATTCTGTCTGGCTGGCATTCGCACTCGCACTCGCATTCGCATTCGCATTTGCTTTTGTTTTTGTGCCCATTGCCATTGCACTGCACTTCGCCCGCCACAGCAAAGCAGCACAACAGACAGACAGACAGACAGAGAGAGAGGGAGAGAGAGAGAGAGAGGCAAGCCAAGCCATGTTATTGCCATGTCGTTCTATTCACAATTCGCATTTGCTTTTAGTCCCCTCCCGCCCTCACCCACCCCCTCCAGCACCTAGCCGCACCCCATCGCAGTGGACTTCATCTCTTCTTCATCATCGCAGTCGTTTGCTGGCTTTGTTTACAAGCATTTGATGGACCACAAACGTCGCATTCAAAGCTCCCCCTTTTCGTATTCTGCAAAATGCGCGCGATTTTCTTGCTGCCCTTTTTTGCTGCTCCTCTTGTTGCTGTTGGTGATGTTGCTGATGTTGCTGTTGCTGCTGTTCTTTGGGGTCTTTTCCCTTCGTCTTTGGCTGGGGCGAATTATGACAGCAAAACGTGTTGCGTGGCGCAACAAAAACAAATGGCGAGAAAATTGTAATTCTCTTGCGCGCTGCTCATTTTCTTCTACTTCTACTTCATCTTCTTTTCTAGCTGTTGCTGTTGTGGTTGTGGTTGTTGTTGCTGTTGTTGGCCCTCTAAGTCGTCTGTGGCATTTGGCAATTCGCATTCTCATCGCCATTCGCATTCGCATTCGCTTGATTTTTATTAGTTGTACTTTATTGAATTCGTCGATTGAATGAATTGCTCAATGAGCGATTCCCCACAGCAGCACAACAGCTCCCCCTCCTCGCCACCCCCCCTCACCCACAACATACACACAAGCACCCAACCAGAAGCAGACGCAGCTGGGTCCGCTAGAAATTGTAGGGACTCAAGCGGAATAATGCGAAGGGAGAAATTTATAAATTATTGATGTGAGTGCTTTATGAATTGTGCTTGCTATCTTGAGAAACGTTTAGGAAAAACTCAAATTAAAGCAGCTCTTGAAATGTGCGAAAAACTTGTGCATTTCCTTTACAAAATTACGAAAATTCAAACGACATTTTACAATGTGTTCAAAGTAAAACACATCGATCAGAAGCAGCATTCATCATCGGAATCAGTATCCGAATTATCTAAAGCATCGCAGATTTCCTGCGCACTCATTGGTCGCCTCGTTGAGGCAGGACACTTTCCTTTTTCCGGTCTGCTTGCTGATGAATTGTAAAACAATGTATCCTCAAAGACTGTGGTCGCCAGCTCCACATTACCATATAGCCTTTTAGAGCCATTGTTTTGCAGTTGAACAGCTCGATGCATCATCTGGTTGAGTTTGATGTTCTCCTGATCGAGACAAGTGCGAAGCTGTTTATATTCGGCTTTGTCTTGGCGAGTTTGACAGGGCAGATCCATCAGTTGATGGGATCGATTCTTCAGTTCGCTTATAACTGCATTCTGGCAGTCGATCTGCTTGATCAGATCCAGATATTCTCGATACATGAGTTCCTCCTCTTCGTTGTCCGACATTTCATCGTCTAGCAGCTCGAAAGGAACATCTTCCGTCTCGTCTAAGGCATCCTGTTCGCCAGCCTCTTCTAGATCCTGGGCTGCTTCTTCTTCTTCGTCTTTAGGAACTTCATCTGCTTCTTCCTCGACAGCGTCGCCAACGGCAACTGCTTCCTCTTCCTCTTCTTCTACATCTGCCATTCAATTTGGTGTTTTTGCCAATCGATCGTTAAACAATTTATGAAATTTCAATATATATTTTTGAGTGAATTTTGAAAGAACTCAGACGACTAATTTTGTGAACTGATGTTAAATTTCAGGCAGTAATTTTCGCTGATTGATTGAATACATCAATGGCAAAAAGTTGTTCAAGTTTCTCAAAGTTTAGCTTGATGTAATTTTCTTGGGTTCTGTCAGCGACTGCTTACATTGTGTCTACATTTTGCTTACTTTACACGGAATGCAGCTCATGGCTCAACGCCTGATGGCGACGACAACGACAGCGACGACAACGACGAGGACGATGGAGACGGCTCCTTTAACCTGTGTCCTGATGACGCCTCATAAATACATGTGCCGCCATAATGTCTGCGTCCATAAAAATCCAACGTTGTCGTAGAGTCGTCAATGCGAATCCAAAGCTCTGGGGATCGTTAGAGCGCTGAAGCGCTACTTTTTTTTTTTTTTTTTCTTCTTTTTTTTTTGCTAACAGGTAAGTTGGTTGTATATATGTGGTGGGTATTCCTTTATTATCGTGGGCAGACTCGTAAAGCGCTTAAGTACCATAAGGGAACTGGAGACGGCTGCTGCTGTTGCTCCGGGCGAATGCACTTAATGCCAAATTAAATGCAATGCCAAAACAGAGAAGAAGAAGAAGAAGAAGACAGTGGTGCGCTGGTGGTGGTGTTTTGTTGGGGGGGTGTGTCAGCAATGAAAACCGCTTTATGATTAATGCGCAGCAAGCAAAGTCGAAAGTTATGCGCCTTGGAAGCGTAATCCGCTGGAATCATCATCAGCAAAAGCCGCAGCAGGAGCAGGAGCAGCAGTAGGAGCAGCGGCAGCAGCAGGAGCAGCAGCAGGAGCAGGAGCAGCAGCAGGAGCAGCGGTAGGAGCAGCGGTAAGAGCAGAAATCACAGTGCCAATAAAAGCGTTAGGCAGTCAGACCATGTTAAAGGCTAGCTCCACAAACGACAGTGCAATAAAGCATAAATCTCGCTGACAGGCGAAAGGAAGCGGAAATGCGTGCATTAACAGCAACACTTGCACAAAAATTTGAATTTCCAAAATCAAAAAAATTAAAAGTGGCAGCAGCCTCAATTGGCAAACTCCAAAAATATTGGCATTTGATAAATTAAAAAAAGTTCATTTAAAAAAACATTGTTAAAAAACATCTTTCTACATTTCAGAAAAATATAAAAAATATGAATATATAAAATAAATTCTAGACACAAATTCGAGGCAGCAAAAATACGAAGAATGCGCAAATAGTTTTTATTTTTTTCGAGTGTAGCTGCACCGGAGAGGCTGGTAATGGCAATGAGTAAGCCGAGGGGAGCTGTGGAAGGTGTTGTCGCACTTGCCAAGTGACTAGCGGGTTCTTGGCTGCCTAGATTTGTAATGTTGAAAACCACTTAACTGCCACTTGCTTTCCGCGCTTATGCCCCATTTAAGTTTGTGTTTGTGTGCGTGTGCTCTGTGTGTCTGTGTGTCTGTGTGTATGCTGAGAGACTGTAAGATAGTTTTCCCGTAGCTAATTTTTGGCATATTTCCCGGCAGCCATTTGCAGTGTGTCCCTGAGTGTGACAGTTGGATTAGCTTATAGTTGCTAGCTGCTTGCTGCTATCCAGCAAAGCAAAACGCACTCGCGCCGAGTTTCAGCCATGACACAAATATATGACCCCAGCTCATGGCTCCCCTTCACTCCCACACACACACACAAATGACAGCCAAGGACACAAGGACGAGAATGTCGAGCAAGGAGAATAGCGAGCAACATTCATGTTGCTAGCAATGGCAGCAGCATCATTAGCCTTAGGGACGCTCACTAAATGAAGCTCTCAAAGTAAAACCCACACACACACACACATCCATACACACACACATGACACATCTTGTTCTTCCACTTCTTCTTCTTCTGCTTCTTCTGGCAACCCTACAGCTCGATGCGTTTTCGATTTACTCAGATTACGCATACGACATGTTAAACGTCTTAAAGACTTTAACATGAAAATCAAACGTAAAAGCTGCAGCAAACTTTCGTTTGCAAGCTGTGCAAACACACACACACACACACACACACACACACAGTCTTACACACATGCTTAGTCTACTCTTATACTCATTACAAAAAAATAGCAGTCAAAAAAGGATCTGTTCGCTTTTCTCTTTGGCCTGCAACTTGCATGCAAGTTTTTCTTTCAAGTTGCTGCCTTTGTTCACCTTTTTTTTTTCTTTTTTCTTTACCATATAGGGTGTATATACTTTGCTGTGAAGTGTGTAACTTATAGAAGCAGGCCTTTTTGCATCCACTTAGTATACACATAGAGATTTATGCATACTCTTGTTCATCGTTAATATGCCAGGACGATGCAGACATTTTCATCTTTAAAGTTATTCCTTATGAAACTTGGTATATATCTGCCGCTTTCAGTCGTATCGGATCATTATATCACATAGCTGTCATAGGAATAATCAATCGAAAGATAAGTTCTTGTAGCTTTCTTATTTAACAAGTTTTTATACCTCTTCTTCAAGTAATTATACTTCTAACATTTCATCAGCATCGCACTTCGATATCATATAGATTTTATGGAAATCGCTTGGTCCTCCCAAATTTTGAATGGCATTTAGATGTCAGCAGATGGACTCCGCTCTGCAAAGGGTATATTATCTTCGGCTTACGTAAGATGGCCGTTCTTTCTTGTCTTTGTGTCTCATTGCAACTGCCGCATTTGTTTTGTTTGCTATTGTTGCGTCGGGCGCTTTGTTTATGCTGCTGCTGTTGCAAGGCAGAAAAAAAAAAAAAAGAAAAAGCATAAAATGATTTCATTAAAAAAGTTGTAAACTTTTTCATTTAATTTAACTGCAAACATCTTTTGTGCCGCTGTGTGTGTGTGTGTACTTTGTATATTGTTCCTTTTCCAGTTTCAGTTTTGTGCCCTGTGTCTTGCCGCTATCTTCAACTAGCATCTGCTATATATATACATATATATAAGTAAGTAGTTCAAGCTGCCACGCCCTTCATTTTTTGTATTTCCCTTTTTTTAGTGCCTGATATTATACGCGAATTGAATTTGCGAATTGAAAACTGAGTTTCAATTAAACTTTTACCTCTCAATTGCAAGCCGTTTGTCTCCACACCCCCCACTTTATCAACAACTTTAGTTGCCAGCCAGCCTTTTTGTCACACGAAAGGCCTTCAAAAATAGTTGATTTACTTTCTGTTATTGTTGTTGTTCTTGTTGACTTATGACAATGCTAGTTGTAAACTAAAGTTTTGTTGTTATTTATCGATAGACTCGAATTTCATATTACAAAAAGTTATCCTTCGACTTTAATTAAATATGCAAATTTGTCAAAGATACTTTTTACTTTTTCCGTATAATCAGCTAACTGAACGTTTCTTTATTTCTATGTTTAATTAAGTAATTTTCGCATTAGATTAAAGTGCTTAAGTGCAGATACTCACATGAAACGATGCGACGACTATTTAAGTATATAATTATTATGTAGCTGCACATAATCATTTGCACAATCTAAAAAACATTATCTATCCAATCAACAACTAAATGTGGGCAGTAATAACATTGACTTGCAACAGGCATAATTCAATTATGGCCACAATACACGCTTCATGTTGAAAGGCAAACAGAGTTGCACAGCGAAAAAGATCGGAGGAATATTTATGAAAGAAAAATATATTAAATGAAAATTTATTGAAAATGCTTAACAATTTAATTTGAAACTGTGTTTATTTTTAGCTTAGTAAATCAGAAATATTAGTTAAATTCGAGCAGCACACATTTCTCTCAGCGCAGTTGCCTCTTCAGCTTGAGCTAACAAACTTCAACCCTTAGGTCGTACGCGCTGGTTGCCTCTAAAGCCGCTTGGTGCCACGCGAGCTGCCACACAACATGTCGTATTAGTAATATTTAAACACAAACGCTCAACAAATGTTGACATGCGTCGCCATTAGCCGAGCGATGGATGCATGCATTGTGGCACGCATCAGAAAATGGAGTGAGAGATTTGTGAGGGGATTGCGCTGCTCTGCGCTGCTCTGCTCTGGAGTCTCTCTGGTCTAGTCTCGCCTGGGCAAATTCAATTTTCGCATACAAAAAAAAAAGGCAACGTCGACGTCTCTATAATAATAACAAGAGCAATAATCTGCTTAGAAGCCAGCGATGCGAAAGTGAAGAAATGCGGTGTAATTCCAAAGTTCGCCGCCGTCAAATGGGAAAACAAGCAAAAATATTGCAGCATATGAGAGGAGAGGATGGAGGCAGGCAGGCAAGCAGGCAAGTAGCAAGTAGCAAGCAGCAGCAGTGCCACATTAAGCCACACACTGGCTTGCATGCCAAGAATGTGGCTGCAAAAATATAAAAATCTGTGTACAACCAGAGAGAGGAAGAGGGTGTGCCTGAGTGAGAGACAACAACTGTGTGTGTGTGTGTGTGTGTGTGTGTGTGTAAAATATGTCATGTTGACAGCGTGGAAATGTCACTCATGCGGCGTCGTAATGAGTTTTGCCAACATTGAATACCCCCAAACGCCTCCAAGCCGCCCTCACATTCAACGCCATTCAACCACCCTCTCAATCCCAAGCCAACAACTTTATAGTGCAACTGTCCGCCCACGAGGCGTATGAGCAATGCGCCACTCAAACTGAGAGTCAAGCATGTTGTTGCAACCGTTTTGCAGCACAGCTGATACTAATAGAATAAATATTAATAGAATATTGATTCCAATATTCGAACTGTCCCTCGAAGTGCCCTTCAGAGAACCACCTCAAACAACCATAACCTTGTGCAGACTGCACCTATGTTTAATTCCGTGGGTGTTTTGCTTCTGGTTTGGCAGTAAAGAATAATACTGCAACTTAAAGCATTAGCATGTATTAAAGTATTTGCTATGCCATAAATGACATTTCAGTTGAAAATCATATATAATATTAGCCTAAGAAATAGATCTTTGTCCAAACTCACGCGATTTTCAAAAGCAATAAGACTACATTTAAAGTTGAAAACGCCATCCTGGCTCGAA